TCGCAGGGAAATGTCGAGTTTGTCGCTCAAAACCGTTGTGGTACATAAGAGCGTCACATCATTAATGACGGAATCAAATTTGCAGAAAGAGGGTTAGTTCATCGGGTTCCGTATACTAAATCTCGGGAGAAACTGCAAGAATTGTTTCGGAGTGTATGCGTGTTGTTTTGTAAATATAAACAATGCAACCTATTTTAACTTGTTTTTGTGTCCTTTTAAGCAACGTGATATGTCTGTTATGACCAGAGTGCCAAATTTTATTCTTTAATTTTGATCTTCTCCACACAGTGCATAGTTCATGACCTGATATTTCAACGTAAATTATCGAGAAGGCGCCTTCCGATCACCTTTGTCTACTTTGTAAGTCACGCAAGCGCGCAAGCGTTACGACCGATCACGTTTACGCAACGTCTTAGGACAACTCGGCATCTAATCTCCATTCAGTTGCTGTGAAAACCTAAAATCCTCAACGTAGAAGATAAACGAACGAAGTTTGAACTGTCAAAAGGAGATCTTGGTCGATTCCAAGAATCATGCAAATGATCTTTGACACCAGCGCAATTGAGCAAACACATGGATTTGCGTTGTTTTTAAGAAGTTGGTATATGGAAGCTAGAGATATACCCGCGGGTTTTGAGGCAATCAGTGACCTCATTGGTGTATAAACTATGCACTGATATGCTTTTTCAGGCCGATTAACGCCTGCATTTTGAGAATTCTTTCGTACAAAGTAGTGAATTTTTGATATGCAAATTAAGGTCGAAGAGAAGGGTCTCCTCTGATCACGCTGGTATGAAAAATATTTCAGCTTAAGTTTCCATATTTTGTCTGTGAACTAACTAAATACACCTTGTAACTTGTAGCAAGATAGAATTCCGTGAGCTACATTGATGCAGTCGCTGCGCGCTAGACAAAATCTTTGAAATTGACACTTTCGATCGCTGTTCACAGAGGTGGTCTGGCCAAAAATCATTTTTGGCTTGTGGCGACGCAAAAAAGAGAATTGGAGAACAACTAAACTATTTTTGAAACATGTGTCCTGAACCCTTTGGGCAAAAAATAAGAGAAAACTTTTTTCCGACGGAAAGGCGAGAGGCCCGCTCTTAGCGAGAGTGGCACTTAAGGTGGCGTTATCTAGACGTCTGTCTTCCAATAAATTTTGGGTAAGAACCAATCAAAATACGTTCGTAATTCAGTTTCATTCATAAGTTTGTCTAACTTCATTATCTACTTTTGTGAGAGAAATGGTATGGCGATGCATGCAAATTTATTGTTACTATAAATTGGGTGTTTTCTTATGGCGAGCGTGAGTTGCATACCACTTTATATTGCAGAACAGTAGCGTTGTACAGTTGTAACAGATCTGTTGGGTTCCTTGGAACTGCAAGCGTGAAAAGTTCCTTTTCAGCAGCCAAACATTTGTCGGTAAACGTTACAGAATGTTTTATTGAGTCCGTCGCGCGTACTCGAGACACGCTCTCGGTAAATTGTTGAAATTTTCTTCTTCGAGAAACGAGCATTGAAAAATGTGTTCTTTGTGGTTGTGGTGCGTTTTCCTTAAGAGAAGATCGTAAAAACAAGTAGCCTCAGCAAGTTCATTCGTTAAAAAGTCTACCACGAGTGATTCGTTTAGTGCCTCTACTTAAGTCAATTTTTTTTTAAACTTACATCGACTTCGATGCGGGAAGGAGAGCAGCGGTGGGTGCTTGTCGTTCGCCAAAAGGAAAACAGCCAATTGCTTGTTTTTACAATGTGCAATTGGCAAAACTGTGTGATAAGTCTTTTATACCTGCCAACTGTTTTTGAGTTAAAAGCGCGAGAGCTTGTTTTATACTTTGGGTTCTCACTAACTGCCCGAGATATTTTCTTCCTCATTTGATTGATAGTCGTGGCCATGTTGGTTTTGGTTCGCGACACTCATTCAAAAGTTCTGCGACTCCTCAATGATTCAGTCTTTTGGTCTCTGGTGTCAATGATACACATGATCTTAGTACGCTGATAACTCTTTGTAGACCCAGCTAGTCGCAAATGGACAAGCATCCAAGTTGCTAAAAGTTGATTATTTTCTGGAGACACACTCCTTATTGGCAGTTATAATATACAACCACAGATAACACCCCACGAGAATAGACTTCTTGGAATTTGTTCCTACTAAAGGAATACGTTAATGGTGTTCCTGTGATTTCAAAGTTTGTGGCTCATTACCAAGGAGAGAATTGAATATTGCTCTGAGTTAGTTTATATCATTTTGCTAGGCTCACAATCTCGAGTTAGGTGATCTTAGGGATTTGTCTCATTTGAATAGAGAATGAGTGAGAGGCCTAATATGAGAAGGAGATCAATCAATCTAGACATCTATACTGATGGTTACTTGCATTTGTAAACAAAGACTGTAACTGGGCTGGGAAATTGCAAAATGAATCCAGTAAAAATAAAAACAACAAAAAAACAACAAACAAACAATGAAAGGCAGATACCAAATATTGGAGAAAATGCTTGGGACAACCTCAAATTTCTTTTAATTACTCAGATGACTTCTATTGATTCCACTTCTTTATTACAACATTTATTGTTCTGTAGACAAAGTAGCATGTATATTTATTACCTAACGGATGGGAATACAAGCTCTAGAAATTTTAATTTGATTTGAATCTGGTTCATGCATGATTCCCAAAAGATTCTCGCCTCTATAATCATAATCCAGTCTCAAGGAACATGGATAAAATCATAAGTTTGCCAACGGAACGTTTTTCCCTAGTTCATAGCAATTCTTGCCCTTCATCCCCGGAAACAATTCCAACTTAAGGTTTGGATGCTCTAAGCGAAGAACATTTTCAACGTATCCGACGGTTTGTGTGGACATCATAAACTCATTCATAGATGGGTTTAAAGAATTATCACCCATTACCCCAAACGCTCCCACGACTCCATAATTATCCTTCCAACAACAGCCCACTGTCCACATTGAGTTTGGAATTGCGATCTTTGGTCCGAGTGCGGGGTATATATTTACGTTGTCATGGAACCACTCCATTGGTTTCACCGACTTATCCACCCCAGTTATTTGGCCTTGAAGATTAAGTATCTCTTCAAATTTAACCTGTGATGTACCAGTAATTAGGTAAAGAGTTCCGCCGTTTGGAGCACAATAGTCTCGGGCGTATTCTACTATTTTCCCTTCGTACTTTTTCCACACACCTCTGTTGAAACCTGCAATTTGCGGCACGCAGTTGGTGTAGGTGAAAGTGGCACGAGCACTTTCATCGCTGTAACGTAAGATGTTAACAGGAACGACGTGGCCTCTCTCGTATCTACCCTGGATTGGTTGGTTCCGATACAATACTTCGCTTCCTTGATGAATCCCTGAATATGAGAGAGGAGAGAGTTTTAAAGTACAACTATGTCATCCAAAAGCCCAAGAAATTTTGTTTTCGGTTGATCCGCGGGGATCAAAAATCTATCTATACAAAAACATATATATGTGTATATATACATATATATATATAAATACACATACAAACACACACAGATATATATTTACACACATCACAAATACATATATTTTATTTTCTAGCGTTTCAAATTTAAACTTACGAAACACTCGGCCTCATCTCAGCATCTTATCGATCGCATGAGGGTGCGTGAAAGGCGAAAACAATACTAATGAAACCATCAAAGTAGACTTTATGACCAAAAGCAAAACCTGGTATACTTAGCAGCTTGTTTCTTAAAAAGTCAATCCTAAAAGGCCACAAAAAATTTGGTTTGTCAGCGCAGCCACTTCGTTCGCCTACCGTCCGTATTTTTGCTTAGTTCTACGGTGTAATACCTTGGCATATCCAGCGCGTTCTTTTGCCCTTAAATGACAGAACTTTGTGGTACTGGAATAAGAAATGTCTTTAGTTTTTCCTAAATTTCTTCATTACAAAAGTAAATTATAATAGTAACACTAACTACCTTACCCGGCGTCTGATTTGGTTGCCACGGGTCACCTTTAGGTCTTGGTACTGGGACTGTCGTGGCTTGTCCAGCGGTAATCTTGTATAACGAGTAACTTGGAATTCCCCAAACATTGTTATAGAAAATGGCATATTGATTTTTTGGGCAAATGGATTTGAAAGTGACACCTTTTGGCTCTGGAAAGAGTGGTTTAAAACCACCCAATGAGAAATGTTTAAAGATGCACTTTGGTACTATGCGACGTACTGGTCGTTCACCCAGATGTTGCCCTTGCTCAATATAATCTAAGATTTAAGAGAAGGTTTTATTTTTAAATATATAAAGAAATGTTTCTCAAAATTGTGCTATATTTTATGAATCTTATCCTTTATGGAGCTTCTTCATTCGGAAAAAGATGATGATTACTTCCTTAGGGGTACGTGTGTTATTCCAGCATTCGATTCTCACGCTAGGGAAATGGTAAATAGAGAATAATACATGGGCGCGCGTAGATATGGAATTTCTCTTCGAGTGTTTAACTTGATAACTCACGAGTGAGCGCAGCGAACTTGGGAGATATCGAGTTGAACACGAGAACGTGAGGCTCAGTTTAAAAAGGAGGCAAGGTTACCTAACTGGTTTTCAACGGTCGTGTGTCAAGGTTGATGTGGACGCGGGCTGTTAGAAACCTCTAAACTGGAAATTTTTGAAGCAAACTGCAGCTTAGCGTCGGTTACACGGGGAAGATTAAGTTTGTAGTGAATTGATGTGAAACTACAGTATACGTGCTTGGATTATGTGTTGGATTTGTGGCCGCCCGGTCATTTTGCGCTGGAATTTTACAGTTGTAACAGATCTGTTGGGTTCCTTGGAACGTGAGGCTCAGTTTAAAAAGGAGCAGGTAACAGATACTGTTACTCAAATGCCTAGAAGTACATAGTTCAAAATTTGTCGAGTAAAAAATTCAAAATCAAATCAAAGTCAAAATACAAATTGTGATGGTTTACGTTTTCATCTAGTATTAGAATGGAATTAACGACCCACACGGAATCTACTACTTGAACAGGCTTGTTCCGTGTTTGCAAAAATTTAAAGCAACTACCGCCCTTGTATATGAGGAAATAAGTTCCGAGGGTGCCTTGGCTGACTTTGCACGCTCGCTCGCGGTAACGTTTGAGCTACGTGTACGAAAGGGACTGGACTCAAAGGGAACACTTTTTTACCTTTTCCTGAGGTTTTTGTCATATTCGTTGCAGCCCATGTAAAAGTGGTTAGTTGAACTGCTACAAGCAACGCCAAGTGGAAAGCGAAACCAAGAAAGTTCATCTTCACCGTATCGTCACAGAGAGGTGCAACTGTCCAGGCTTATCTCTACTGCTTCGCTTTGTGATCTCTTCACCATATATGTTATGTTCTTCTTGGCTTTTAAGATTTTTGTGATGTTTTTGTGGAATTCATTACTAAATCTTTTTCGTCACAGTTACCACAGAGGAATTCATGGCATCTTAATGGATCTCATGGTTCACTTTGTCTCAATTCTTTTTTTAACATCTGATGTTGTCATCCTATAGAAAAAGTCTTTCTTCAAAGCTAAAAGAACTGCTTGAAACAAAAGATGTAAATACAGGTAACAGAGACTTGCTTTTAAAGTATCCTATTACACTCAGTGTAATTGAATAACCAATTGATTTGGACTCTATTGCTTGTGACCTTTGGAAATTTCTTGCCTTTTTTAACCTCTTAGTTGATAAACATCTTTACCTTTTTACAAATGTTTAAGCTTCTCCTCGGGAAAACATTAGCAACCGAACATTTTCAGCTGACAAATAAGCCACTGAGCAATATGTTTTTATCCGAAATATTGAAGCCCATGAACTCACTCCAACTACTTACAAAAACTCTTACTTATTTTCTGAATCTTAGATACCTAAAGATTAAGGAATCAAGGAGCTTGTTGTTAAGTTCTTTGTTGTTCATTTCGAATGTCTTGTGAGATTGTTTTGGTTAGAGTTCTAAAAGTATGTTTACTCTGCCACGATTAGCTGTCCCTTAAGCCCAAACATGCCAATCGATAGGGTATTAAAGAGCGTGTAATTAGGGCTGAATTGTTAGAAGAGAGACAGAGTCTCAGAGAGTGAAATAAAGCTCCTGAACAGACTTCTGGTGCCTCCGTTTACGCAAGTTGCTCAAGCAAGTTAACCTAAACAGTCCAACACTCTGTTGGCGATGACCGTGAGCCGCCCCTCGGTTCCACCTGAAAAACATTTGAACCCCCCAAAATTCTTTCACCCCAAAATCTTTCGTCCAAACCACCTTGACTAAGTCATCCGCCATCCTCAAAAAAACCACCTAGGAATTCTTGGCATCTTAATGGTTCGCTTTCTCTCAATTTTTCTTGATGTTCTCATTGTATGGAAAAAATTTTGAAACCTAAAAAGGACTGCTTGAAACAAAATATGTGCATACAGGTAACAGGGAAGAGATTTTAAGGCATCTTATTACACTCAGTCTAATTGAATAACCAATCGACTTCGACTCTGATGCTGGTGACCTTCGCAGTTTTTGCCTTAGAAAATAAATATCTTTCGTGGAAAGTATTATACAAAGATGCTTCATCTTTTCTATCTTAAATTGAAACAGGAACCAACGTATCTCCTCAAACCCTCAAAAAGAAATGCCTTCAAACCTGGCACCGGGATATTCAATTTGTTAACATCTAAAGAAAAAACGGTATTCGATTTTTTCATGATGGAACTCCAGGGCTAACAAGTTTGCGTTAATGGTGGTTATAAAATTTTAAAACCTCATTTGGACGTTT